TTGAAATTAGTATGTGCATTTAGTGTGTTTAATTAGGGCTAGATTGTAAATATATGTAGCCACGGCTTCACCATGACGAAGTATTTTTAATGACACAAGGCAGGTTTAGGTCACATCTGTTATTTTAGTAAGTATTTTAATATAACGTAGTTGGAAGTAGGACTTTTTATTAGGTTTTGTACGCAAATATGTATTTATTTATTACAGGTACTTATATAGTGCCGTCGATTTTACGCAGCACTTTACATATATATATTGTACATTCACATCAGTCCCTAGCTCTCCAGAGGCTTACAATCTTAGGTCCCTAACTTACATTCATACATACACATACTAGGGCCAATTTGGACAGGATCCAGTTAACCTACCAGCATGTCTTTAGAGCGTGGGAGGAAACCGGAGTACCCGGAGGAAACCACGCATGCACAGGGAGAACATCCAAACTCCAGGCAGGTGGTACCATGGTTGAGATGTAGGCTTCCAATGGCAACCTTGAAATTGAAAATTGCTTGGCTGTCATATTGATCACTTGGCTTTGATCCTTGTTTGATGCAGAACAAGCATGCTGCCAGTAAATTCAGGACTTATGCTTTGTGTTTCCTGCAAAAGGCTTTCTACCATCACATCTAGGTAGACGAGCCTTGTGTTAACATTTGCAACAAAAGACCTTCTGGAAGTCATTGGAAATTGCCTGCAGAATGTTTTAAAGGAACACTGCGTTAACATTTGTAGCATAGTTACCAGCCCTGCCTGATATCTGTGGACTACAGAACATCCCCTCTGTTGGGGAAATGGGAGAGAGGTAGCATGTAGACCTAACACTCTTTCTCACTTAGGGTGACAACATGGATCTTTTATAGATACAGTGAATGTTTTTACCCTAGGACAGAAAGTGTGATACTGGCCTCTTGCTATGGGAACACTCAACTCGCTTCCGAGCCACCTCTGTGTGTCCATTTACACAGAGAGCGTGGCTCGGTCCTGCCCTTGCTCTCTCCTCATTGGCTTAATGGTTGTAATCGATAGCAGCAGGAGCAACTGGCTCTCACTGCTGTGTGAGCCAATGAGGATAGAGAGAGACCCTGGAGAGCTGCTGCTCTAATGCACAGCGCTGGAACCAGCTGCACCCAGAAGGTTTTTTTTTTTTACCTTAATGCATAGAATATATTAAGAATACATTAAAGTGTTACTAAACCCACAACCGTAAAATCAGTCTGTATATGCAATAAAGCATGCTTGTTATACTCACTGTGGAACCTAATGGGGTTAATCCTCTGCATTGTGTAAAAAAGACTGACTCTTTCTTTTCTGCCCCTCCTCTTGTTGAAATGACCACCTGATACAGACTGAACCTATGGGCACATGCTCAGTTTGGTGTGTATTGCTAGAGTTTTTTTTTTTTTTTTGGTTTTTTCTTTTAAGGGTGCATGTGATCAGCACAGGGCCAATCTGCACTGTCCAGACAGAGGGTCAGAGGTTTCACATCCTCCTAGAGCAGAAAGAAAACTGCTTCTACAAACTTTAACCAGTGCTCTACTGAAGTCACAAGACTGCTCTAACTGCTGAGTAGAAAAGGTATTTAGCAGTTTATATTTACTAAAATAATTCAATTTTCTGTGTACTGTGGGAGACCAGAAATAGTGAATGCAGGGTCCTGGGTTTAGTATCACTTTAAGGTAAACACCTTGAGCCTTTAGAACCACTTTAATTTATGCAAGTTTGTTAAAGGAAAGAATTTCTTTAAATGCTCTCCTTTTTAGGAAAAAAATGATTTCTAGTGAATTTTGTCTACGACCCCACTGGAGAGAATTTACTTGTCTCTGTGATTTTGGCACAAGAAGTGGGACATGTGGCAGACAATATAACAAAAAGGGAAGATCAGCATTAAAAACTGTCATTTCTAACCCTTCACTCAACTAAAATACGTTTGTTAGAGCCCTCATTGACACAGTATCCCATAACTTTGTGCTGATAGAAAGTGAAGGGAAATTCTACAGGGAAAGAATGCCAATAAAACCTGACTGACAGGGATCTATCAATTTCCTTCTCTTTCCAGAGCAAAATAGTGTTTTAATGCAATTAGGCTATAAAGAAGTGTCTTTAAAAATACCTATTTTAGTTTGTCGTTAAGGATTTAACTCAGGGGTCGTCAACCCCCGGCACGTATGCCAGACATATGCCAGAGAATGTGCAGGAGAGATCTTTGTACTGCACATAGCTGAGATCAGATTGTCTTGCAGACGGGCTCCATCTGCACAGTGTTTAGTTTCCTGCTATTTTGCTGTTCTGACCTGTGAAATCCCCAGATTGGAACAGCAGCACATGTGCAGTAGTCAGTTACACACTGTGCAGGTGAAGACTGTGTCTGTAAGAGAATCTGATCTTGGCTATGTGGGGTCAAGGAACTCTTAAGAATGCCCTGATAGCAGTGACCTTAGGCCTCTGCCCTGTTCACCCCATCTGCCCTATTGGCCCCTCTTATCTGCCCTGGTGAACCCTGTCCTATGCTCTGCTCATCCTTGTTTTCCGCCTTGCTGATTCCTGTCCTCTGCCCTGCTGACCCCTCTTTTCTATTCTGCTGACCCTTGTCCCATGCCCTGCTGACCACCCATTTTCTGCTCTGCTGACCCCTGTCCTCCAATCTGCTGACCCCTGTGCACTGCCCTGCTGGCCCCTGTCTTATGATGTACTAACCCCTTTGCATTGCCCTGCTGACCTTCCATTCTCTGCCCTGCTTACCTTGTCCTCCCACCCTATTGAAAGCCCATCATCTGCTTTTCTGGCCCCTGTCCCTGCTGACCTTTGTCAGCCCTGAGGATCCCTGTACACTGCCCTGCTGACTGCTCTACACTGTCCTGTTGACCCCTGTCCTCCACCCTCTTGCCCCCTGTCCACTGCCCTGTTGACCTCCTGTCCTCTGCCCTGCTTAACCCTGTACTTTGCCATGCAAACTACTGACACGGTTTTCTTCCCTGCCTCAGATCCTCTGCCCCCTGACATTTTTTCCTACACCCTCACATCAGACAGGCTAGATACGGCCCTGGTGTTAAGTCGGATGCCCCAGGCTGCCTGCTCTCATTTTGAACTGATATTTAACCAGCTTTTGAGAATTAATAATTTAAAAATACAGGAATTGGGCTGATCTGAATTGTGAAGGTGCGAGAACTGGGCTGATTGGAGGCGTGAATGTAATTGCATTGGGATTTATTTGAGATTTAAAGGTACAGAAATTGGGGTGATCTGAGGTGTGAAGTTGCAGGAATTGGGGCTGACCTGAGGTCTGCTGGTGCTGGAATTACAGCTGATCTAAAATGTGATCGTACAGGAATTGGTCTGATGTGAGAAGTTGCAGGAACTGTAGTGATCTGTGGTGTGAAGGGGAAGGAATTGGGGTGATCTGAGGTGTGAATGTAATTGCATTGGGGTTTATTTGAGATCTGAAGTTGCAGGAATTGTGGTGATCTGAGATGTGAAGTTGCAGGTCTGGGACTGATTTGAGGTGTGATGGGGCAGGGATTGGGATGATGTGAGGTGTGAAGTTGCAAGAATTGGGCTGACCTGAGGTCTGTAGGCGCAGAAATTGGAGCTGATCTGAAATGTGATTGTGCAGGAATTGGGGTGATCTGAGGTGGGATGTTGCAGGTATTGTAGTGATCTGAGATATGAAGGTGCAGGGATTGGTGTTGATTTGAGTTGTGGAGGTGTAGAAAACAGGGCTGATAAGAGGTGTGAAGAGGCAGAAATTGGGTTGATCTAAGAAGTGGAGGTGCAGGAATAGGGGTGATCTGAGGGGTGATGGGGCAGGTACTGGAGTGATCGAAGTTATGTAGGTGCATGAAATAGGGTTCATATAACGTGTGAAGGTGCAGAAATTGAGGGTGAGCTGACAGGAAAAGGTGCAGGAATTGGGGCTCATCTGAGGCATGAAGGTGCAAGAATTTGGGTGATCTGAGGTGTAATGTTGACGGAATTTGGGGTGATCTGGGGTGGGAAGTTGCATGAATTGTAGTGATCTCAGATATGAAGATGCAGGAATTGGGGTTGATCTGAGGTCTGGTGTTGCAGGAAACGGGGCTGAACTGAGATGTGAAGGTGCAGGAAATAGGGTTATCTGAGGAGTGATAGGGCAGGAATTAGGGCAGATCTGAGAGAACTCTATTAAGCTGTTAGCAACTCACACTTTATTTCCAACTGTATAGTGGAAATGAATATGCCAGCCGGGTAAGGGTACCACTTACCATTTGTTTTACCACTTACTATTGACCTCTGAAAGCTCAGTGATAATTTTGTACTATTCTTAATGTCGTTTACAGCATTTACATTATAAAAAATCTGGCACTCTCAATTTCTTTGAAAACATTTTGCGGCGCATAATGCTCAAAAGGTTGCCTACTCCTGATCTAGCTTCTTAGTAAAGTTAGATTTACACCAAGAATTTTACACCGTTCAAATACCCACTTTTGTAAACCGTGCAACAGTTTATGTAACACATTGGAGGAATCGGTCATTCTGGTGAATCAAGAGTGGATAGAATTTTTAGTTTTCCTGCTTTCTGCAAAATCAGTTTATGATCCAGGAGGTAAATAGCTCTCAAAACCATTTTTATGTTGATTTGATCACGTTGCCTTGATCCTCACAGGAATCAAGCTGTCTTTGTATTTGTGTTTGCTTGGGGTCAAAGAGCTCAATGACTACTGCGGTCCAGCTTGTGCTGGTATTGTGCAATGTGTATAAAGTGAAAGGATACGCTTTCTTTTCTTACAAAAATGTACTATGCTATTGGCACAACTGATGTATATATAGGTCACCTTGCTCGAAATACTGGACAGGTGCGCAATTTTCACATATTCTCAGAATTTGCTTATATGTAGTAATAAGATGTATTGGAGGTTTAATTTCAGCATTTCTAAGATTATGTATTCCAATTGTTTTAAAGCAATAATATATACTTTATCCTTTTCTTTCTGTTTTAGAGATTGTTTAATGGGAAGAAAAACAGTATGGAGGAGTCCCAAATAAGTGCTGAAAGTACTGATGCTAATGAGCTCCTCAAAGAGGACATCAATTTCAACTCTGTTGAGGAAAATGTAACATATAAGAAAATACAAGCCTGTGAATCTGTTCAGAAAAGTAGTTCATTGAATGTGCCTGAAGAACTATCAAGGGACAGGCCTGAGAAAGCCTTAAGCAAAATCCAGGGTGCTCTACTAATCCACGAAGGTGCTACTACTGTCTCTAGTGAAAATCCTGTTTTGCCTAAAGAAAATATTAATGGACCAGTTTCATACTCCTCAAATAAAACTTCCATCCTGAATACAGACAGTATTTCCTTATCCACAGACCACCCTGTGGGTCTGCAAACAAATTTGTGTTCATCTTCGAAGGTAGTTTATGATCTTCATCCACCTACAAAGAACTCTGTACAAATGTCAAGTCAGCAAGTTTTATTCTTGATACCTGATGTAGCACATGCCAAGAAAGAAACCCATTCCAACCTTAAACATCCTACCTCCTCTTCAGTTGGTTGTGAAATATCTAATGGGAGTAATGCCAGATTGGATAGCACTTTAGTAGGGCCAATAGATGAGTGCAATGATAGGAAAAAGTTACCTGCGAATGAGATACAAAATCAGATGGAAGGTTGCTCTATTGCTATTGATTCTGTAGGAGCAAACAATGCTAACTTCAGTACCGAGAGGGACTCTGTAAATAATGATAAAATGGAGGAATTAGAAAAGAACTGTGTTGTAAGGGTACAAAAAAAAAGCGTAAACGAAAAATGGATGGCAGTAAGATAACTCGTTGCTATTCCGAAGATGCTTATAATGATGTCAATATTTCCAAGAAATCAAAGCTATTAAATGTAGATATGATGGAACAGAGTGATGAAGAGCAAGTGGTAGCTCCACATAAGTATGCGTTAATGAAGATAAAGTCTGAATCTTCTCTTGATGACACGGAAGAACATCTTCCAAAAGAGGCTATAGAGGCATTCAATCATTATATTTATAACCCTGTTTGTGATTATTCTGGAGAAACCTCACCTGTTCATGTTGACCCATTCTTTTCCAGTGATGTACAAAGTTGTGGGTCACAGTCACCACCGACATGCACTAGTGATCAAGAGCCATCGTTTTACCCCTGCACAAAGTGCAATGTGAATTTTAGGGAGAAGAAACACCTTCACAGGCACATGATGTATCACCTGGATGGGAATAATCACTTTCGACACCTTAATGTTCCAAGGCCATATGCTTGTAAAGAGTGTGGGCGAACTTTTAGAGACCGAAATTCACTTCTTAAACATATGATTATTCACCAGGAACGACGACAGAAACTGATGGAGGAAATCCGTGAACTCAAAGAGCTCCAGGATGAAGGTAGAAGTGCCCGTCTGCAGTGCCCACAATGTGTGTTTGGAACCAACTGCCCAAAGACGTTTGTTCAGCATGCCAAAACCCATGAAAAAGACAAGCGATATTACTGCTGCGAAGAGTGCAACTTCATGGCTGTTACTGAAAATGAATTGGAGTGTCATAGAGGTATTGCTCATGGGGCTGTTGTAAAATGTTCCGTTTTAACTTCTGATCTACCCCAAAGGAAATATCAGAAAAAGACATTGAAAAATTCATATTTCCTTTCATCTAAAAAGCCTACAACATTTATCTGTAAGATGTGTTCATTTACTGCACCAACCCGCTATATTTTAAAAAAGCACATTGAATATGTACATCCGTCATCTACTTTAGACCAGTTTAATGGTCCCCTTGTAATTAAACAAGAACGTTTTTCAGATAATGAACTTGAATCTGAGAGTAAAGAGTTTGCGAAACAGCCCCCTTTTCCAAAGAATTCTGTCTTAAAGCAAGATATGAAGAGACCGTATGGATCCCTTGGTCAAAGTAACAGTTTTACAAAGTTGTACAGAAAACACAAGATACAAAAAGCTCGAAAAAGTGCTGCTCAATCTGTTGTCAGTGGTCCTTCAATTTCCCCAAATAAATCTCTGCTTTTCACTAGCAATGACCAAAAACATAGGTACTTTAAAATGAAACAAAAGCATGCAAGGATAAATCATGCCTACATCTATAATCAGAAGTGGGATGGCTACAAAACGTTGAAAAAATCACACATTTATCCACTGAATTTAAAAAAGGAAGAAGGTAATTCTTCACATCAGCTTTCCAGTTCACCTGATCCTGATCTTCAGGAAGAATGCTTGATTATGGATCCTCATAACCGTCACCCAGGTAGACTAGTTGGTTTCAAAGACAGGGTAGCAGTCAAAAGGGTGCGGAGAGCAGACCTGGAAAGACCAGTGACAGAAGAAGATATGGATAGCTATCCAGATTTCCTTCAAAAAGTGACTTATGTTGTACTAAAAAAACTTGACCCCTCTGATAAAAAAGACGATTATGATTCATGGGACAATAGTGAGATTTGCAATTATAACACAGAATCTCCAGATGATGCATACAACAGTCCAGCAAAAAAAGCAGTTTACCCAATTTTTAAAGACAAAACTAAAGATCTTCAGCTCAATGAAGACCAGGGCTTGCATTACAATAGTAATGATGGCTTTTACTTTGAGTATTATGAAGATGGTGAGGGAGATGGTTACATGCATGAAATGTCTGATGTTGATTTGGAAAATGCAGAATCTGCATTGCCAGGCCACAGTATATTCCACTGGAGTGATTTAGCTCTTGAAAAGAAGTCTTGTCCATACTGTCCTGCAACCTTTGAAACAGGTGTTGGGTTATCTAATCATGTTCGTGGACATTTGCACAGAGCGGGACTAACCTACGAAGCTCGCCACGTGGTGTCTCCAGAGCAAATTGCATCAAGTGATAAAATGCAGCACTTCAGGAGGACAGGAACGCCAACAAAGCGTGTAAGGAAAGGTGGGTTGTGTTTTTGTAACTTTTAGTAAAACTCAAGATTGTTCTGCAAAGCTTGCATTGCTTATTTCACTGTGATAAAGTACAAATGTGTATTATCTCTAATTAATTTTATATTTCATCATATCATCTAAACTTTAGAGCATGCTCCTCTTCCCCCCCCTCTCCTCTTCCCCCCCCTCTCCTCTTCCCCCCCCCTCCCCCCCCCCCCCCCCCCCCCCTCCCCCCCTCTCCCCCCCCCCCCCCCCCCCCCCCCCCCCCCCCCCCTCCCCCCCTCCCCCCCCTCCCCCCCCTCTCCTCTCCCCCCCCTCTCCTCTCCCCTCCCTCTCCCCCTCCCCCCCTCCCCCCTCTCCCCTCCCCCCCCCCCTCCCCCCCCCCCCCCCCCCCCTCCTCTGATATCTGACATATTCATATTCAGATTGGTAGGGGAATGGATTTAATAATTTCCTGGTTGTATTGTATGTAACATGTTCTGATAAGCATTCCAATTTTGACATTTTTCTCTTTATGCCAATAGTAATAGAGAAAATCAGAGAGCCCTTCTGAGCACACATGTGCTCTGTGTGGAGGCTGGTTTGATACAAAAATTGGATTATCAAACCATGTTCGAGGTCACCTGAAAAGACTTGGGAAAAATAAATGGGATGCACACAAATCGCCCATCTGTGTTCTGAATGAAATGCTGCAAAATGAAGAAAAGTATGAACAACTTCTAAAGATCCTTAACAACAGGCGCCCATTTCAAAGACCAGCTCACAGACCCTTCTCAGCACACAGGTCTTCCCGAAATGACTTTTCAAAGACCAGTGTTGCACCTACCGAAGAACACTGCAATGGCTTAAAAAACGGACACTGCATCTGAGCAAATATTACAGGAAGGGCTGTGCCCAAGTGAATGTGATGGAACAAGTCTACTTGGGGACAAGGATCAACTTGCTTTTTTACCTGAATTTCTTAAAGTAAAAAAATCAGGCGAAGATAAAAACTCAGAATCTTTTCAAAGGGTCAATCAAACTGCAAGAAAGAGGTTGACGCAGAAATGCCTTCATCCTTTAAACGAAGATTGTTCGCTGATGTGCAATTCACATAAAAACATTGATTTCGTCTTGCAGTCGGGTAAGGATACTTTTTTAATATCCACACTAGTTGTAGCTATTTTGAACCAATTGTGTACTATATAATGTTGCTGTTTTTTTCTGTTGTGTAACGCATTGATGCTGTAGCTAAGTATAATAAAGTTAAAGCCTGCATTTAGGGAGTTTAGGGTTGATCAAACCCCTTAAAGTAAAGTGGACGTTGGGAAGACTAAAACTTGCGGTCCCGTATATCAGGTTATTGTCCTAGTGTGGCATTAGATATTTTTCTTCAGAATGGAAAATGTTGTAAAGTACTTAGTGGTTGTAAAGGCTCAAGGGTTTTTTCCTTCATGCCTTCTGAGCATGAAGGTAAAAAATCTCTGTGCAACATCAACTGTCAACTCACAGCCAGTGAGCCAATGAGCAGAGGGGGCGTGGTTAATCCGTGACTCTGTGTGAATGGACACACAGAGCAGAGGGTGCCCCCAATAGCAAGCTGCTTGCTGTGGAGGCACCTGACTGGAGGGAGGGGCTGGGAGCGCCAACGGGGGACCCAAGAAGAGGTGGATCTTGGCTGCTCTGTGCAAAACCACTATACATAGCAGGTAAGTATAGACATGTTTGTTAATTCTTACAAAAAAAAAAAAAAATTAAGCATTTAGAATCACTTTAATGTTTTTATCAGTTGTGTTCTTGTTGGAGAGTTACTCATTCCGTTCCTATTTCCTTGACACCTGCTGCTCCTATGAGACATAGGGTTAAGGAAATCTCTCCAGTGGGGCCATAATAGTAAAATAAATTTATGTTCTAACCTGTCTCTTTCCAAGCAAAAAGGTTGTGTCCATAGTTCCACTTTTGTTGAGACAAAAAAAAAAATCTTTTTTGGGTGATAAATATACATTGCAAGGATTTTAACAAACTTTGTTGCAGATTCCTACCTATTTCTGCTCAGAAGAAAAAAGCTTTTTGTTCTACTTTGTCTTTGGATACTGATTCTGAATGGACATTACTAATTCACTTTGGTTCTGATGAGAGAGGTTTTAATGTCATCATCCCTTTAGAAGTGATTAACAGAAAAATGACAGTTATGCAGTTTGGAAGGGAAAGTTTTTCATAACATCAAATTATAATATGACTTATGTAGCAATTGTATATGCTATAATTTTTTTTTATTTTACTATATTTTTCCATGAATTTTCCCTTTAAAGCATAACTATACTTACTCACCTTGAGTCCAACAATACGCCGTCCCCGGAACTCCCCTGCCTGCCGCTGACATCTTCACGCAGTCAGCTTCTGGGTCTCGATTGCTGGCCGCTGTCATTGGCCAGCCCGCAATGACTTCATTCCAGCACGAGCAGGCGTTCCATTAACTTCGGCATTGCTGAATTTGTACAATCACCTGCTCTTACACAGCTTACTGTACAGGGGCGGGAAGGCACTAAGTAGCTTTACTGCAGAAGAAAGTAAGCATGTCTCTTCTGTATTAAAAATCCTGCCTGTTGGCACATTTTCATTTTCTAGCATAAAGTTCTACTTTAAAAAAAGGCCAAATTAGAGTTTGCTATTTATTCTGCAGCATATGTGAAAGCTGCAGTGTATTGTATGAGACCAACAAAAGATACCCCCTGTCAATTTCCATGTGAATGAAATACATTGGCACTGTTTTACAATTTGTGGAAATACCTGTGAGGTAAAGCTCTTAGAAGCACCATAAATGTGCTCCAAGGTAATGCAAATTGATTTATTGTGCCTGCTTGATTACTGCAGGCAGATGTGTAGGTGATAAGTATGCTTTAAAATAGTACATTAAAATGCTGGTTTGTTGTGCATCTTTTGCTTTTTTTTATAGAAATAGAGATCAAGGCTTATGAACGGTAATTGTTCTGTGGTTTACCTCTACAGAATACAGTATAGATGCTTGAACTGTTATGTTTCTGTCTCGGGTTTGAGGTGATCTACAGACAGACTTGTCAATATAGTAAAGCTGGGTACACACTATAAGAAAATAGGAAGAAAAATTCTGTATGAGGAACAATCGGCCAGTTATCTGTTCGTTAGTATAGTGCTTTCGATAGCAATTCCGACTGTTTGGATGAAAAAAAAAACAAAAGTGCAAGCTAGAAAATTTTGATTGTACATGAATTGTACTGTCCATTTTTTGCTCAATGTGTACAGTAGTCATATGGAAATCGAATAGAAAAAAAGCAAAGAATGACCCAGAAGAAGGTGGCAACGAACATTGAAATCGTACAAAAGAAGGACCATTTGCCTTTGTCTGGGAATTTTCATTCAAGTTAATACCATTGTTTCTCATAGCATGTACCCCACTTAAGAGTTGCTAAGAAGCTACAGGTTCTATAAAGTGATAGAATTGTCACATTAGAAAAATGTTCAACTTCACAGTTTTGAGTTCAGATTTAAAACTAAAACTGGAAAGTCTTGTCGTGTCCTATAAATTTACAAAAATATGTTGATGCCTATAAAGATGTTGAGTTTTCCACATACATAGGGCAGCCTACAAAGTTCAAAGGATGTTAGGCTTGTGCCCAAATTGTAGATTAATCAGGAAAGTTGTCCAAACTATTAGTGTAATAGCCTCTAAAATTGCAGAATTATTGCAGGACTATGTGCATCACAAGATAAATAATTTTCTGTACTTTAAGATGATAATGTTTAGATTACCGAGATCAGTATCATAAACAAAATGAAATCAAATACCTTTCATTGCCCAAACCACCAGATCTTAATACCTATGTCAACCCAAAAAAGAAGAAAAAATAAAAAACTTGTTTTCTGTAACATGGAACTTTCTAGGTGCAAAATGAGACAGTAACCAAATATTTATTTATTTTTAATTTATATAAATCTCTTGTTAATAACATTGTTTATTTACAGAGCACTGATCAGTGCATTCTGACGGTGGGGAAGTTTAGCAATCTGCCAGAAAAAATGCTCTCAAAATTGCAAAACAAGGATTTTTTCTTTCCCAGCCCCTGAATGCTGAGCTTGAAAAGCACCTCTAGACTACCTAACGTGCATGGACACATAGGATAACAGTTGCTTCTACAGGCTAAATGCATGCATAGAACCTAAAGATATTTGGTTACTGTCACATTTTAGACCTGGAAGTCTGATGTTACAGAAAACCCAGTTTTCTGGGTTTTTTTTTCTCCTTTTTTGGGTTGATATAAATATTTGTGTGGATGTAGGTCAGTGACTGTCCTAATATACACTATATTGCCAAAAGTATTGTGTACTGTGCTGGCTAGTCGAGTTCCTCCACCCCAAACACGCCCATCCATGTCTTTATGGACCTTGCTTTGTGCACTGACGTACAGTCATGTTGGAACAGGAAGGGGCTATCCCAAAACTGTTCCCACAAAGCTGGGAGCATGAAATTGTTCAAAATGTCTTGGTATGCTGATGCCTTAAGAGTTCCCTTCACTTGAACTAAGGGGCCAAGCCCAACCCCTGAAAAACAACCCCACACCATAATCCCCCCTCCACCAAACTTTACACTTGGCACAATGCAGTCAGGCAAGTACTGTTCTCCAGGCAACTGCCAAACTCAGACGCGTCCATGAGATTGCCAGACAGAGAAGCGTGATTTCTCGCTCCAGAGAACACGTCTCCACTGCTCTAGAGTCCAGTGGCGGTATGTTTTACACCACTGCATCCAACGCTTTGCATTGCACTTGGTGATGTAAGGCTTGGATGCAGCTGCTCGGCCATGGAAACCCATTCCATGAAGCTCTCTATGCACTGTTGTGCTAATCTGAAGGCCACATGAAGTTTGGAGGTCTTTAGCTATAGACTCTGCAGACAGTTGGCTACTTCCGCACACTGTGTTTTTCAGTGCTCTGTCATTTTACGTGGAGTTGCTGTTGTTCCCAGTTGCTTCCACTTTGTTATAATTCCACTAACAGTTGACCGTAGCAAGGAAATTTCACGGATGGGCTTATTGCAAAGGTGGCAACCTATCATGGTACTATGCTTGAATTCACTGAGCTCTTGAGAGTGACCCATTCTTTCACAAATGTTTGTAGAAGCAGTCCGCATGCCTAGATGCTTGACTTTATACACCTGCCGCCATGGAGGTGACTGGAACACCTGAATCCAATGACTTGGAGGGGTATCACAATACTTCTGGCAATATAGTGTAGAGAGTATTCAGATTTTAATATCATTGAACCTTTATGGGGCAGGTGTCATTATTTCAAATGTAAGATTACATTTGCTTTTCAGTTACATAAGATTTAACTGAAAACCTTAGACAATGCTTTTGTGAGATATAAAATTGGTTGCAAATACCTCTGTACTTCAGATTAGCATTGCTTTTATCTGTGACACACTGAATCTAGTTTGTTGATCATTTGCTTAGCACAAAGATTTTTGCAAGAAACTTCAAATCATTAACTTTCATTATTGGTTTCGCATCCAGAGTAATAAACATAAGGCACTGAATAAAATGTTTTGTCTAACAGCTGTTTGGTTGTGTGTTTTTACCACCTTTTCTCCCAGCCTTCATCAGCAAACTAATTTAGTACTGTGCCTTTTTACAGTCTTATGGGTAAAACACTTTAATTACCACTTTGTTAACCAGATCTTTATTCTGTTCTGAACATTTAAATATTGTATGCTAATTGAGAGATCCTATAACTTAGTCCATGCACGACTTTAGTCATATATTTAGACCTCTTTGTATTCCATTTTTCAGCAAATTCAGTTTTCGTAAACAGTAATTTTGTCATTGTTTGTTTAAGCTGGGGATACAACTAACTATTATTTTCACAATCGATTAGTTGGCCCATTTATTGTTTCGATTTGTCAGATAAAAACCTCAAAAAAAGTTTGGCGTATAATTTGGTTAACGGATAACTCCACTTGGGTGGGAAAAACAATTTGCAAAAAAAAAAATATAGTGTATACAATTATAACACAAGTCCTATTGTAATTAAATGTTATCAAACATTACCTTCCATTTTCAATCTGCAGTGCTGTAATTCTCTGTAGATTGCAATGTGGCTGCCTGCACGT